CCTCCCCCTACAACCTAACGCATCTAATGGATAGGCAGCTTGAATTCAAGCAGTTTTTTAAAATGCTACCTGATGGCTGTTATGCAAGCTGGATTAACCGAGGTTTTGATTCTCCGGTTGCTGTGCTTTCCTGCCCCTTTTCCTTTCTTCATTTTATCTTGGTCCTCGCCTTCCTCCTCACATTCGTCCTCTCGGAAGTCGCATACCCAGGCACTTAGGTCCCAGTTATTCCACAGGCTTAGAAACGGTCTCTTCGCGGTCATTAAATGAAGACGACAGAGTTGCAAAATGTCGGCCTATGAGACAACAGATGACATCCCTGGGGAGTAACCGGAGGGGCGGTTTTCTGACGTGCTACCCTCTAGTGTTCCCACGCGTTCGGTTCACTGTGATACAGCCTCTATACGGTGTGGATAGTCAGTGTCAACAGCCGTTTACGCAAACGCCTTTTAAGTACCGCTGGGAAAGTGTCAGCGTCCAAGGTACCAGTTCCGGTACTACTGCCTGACATAAATGTCTCCGCCCCCTGCAACGACCTAGGCGGGCAAACATGTCCTTTCCCCAGGCGCGATGCTTTGACGTTGGATTGAGAAGCAGTGAGTCCTCCCCTTCTCCCTCCCCCCCTCTGGTCAGAATAATCCGGAATCTGGGCCCCGAGACTGTACTTGTGATGTGTAGTTTGCAGTGAGAATCTGTCAAACTTAGTAGGGCTAGCGAGTGAGAAACACCGCGGTAGGTCGTGAACGTGGAAATGTGCGTGAGTAATGCACTCTTAGAACCGACTAAGTACATAGAAAGTCATTTGAATTCCGTGTGCGTGTTTTTTGCCTAAGAGAAAAATCATGTCTGCGCAGGACATGGGAGTGAGTACCCGCGTATTGCAGGCGACCTCGCACAAAATTCCAGCGGAGAGTTAGGATTGGGCTAGTGGCATGGTTAGCGTTAAAACTAAGTTATGGGAGTGGATATACCCTTGAGATTTAGCACAAGTACAGTTGCACTTATTGTCTGTTACAGTTTCATGTCTATAGAAGCGAAGAGACGAGTCCCAGGAAGTAGTCTCGAAGAAGGAGACACGATCGCTGGGACAAGAGCTTTATTAGCCTGACGTTTCGGATTCCTTCTCGAACCCATCATCTGAGACAAAAGCAGATACGGGCGGTTCATGCACAAGGGGCTGCAGTATTTATAGGATGCAGTCGCCATGGTATCGCATACCTATGAACATTCACGGCTCCTCTCTTCATCCTGGATCGTTGTACGTGGTGTGATGACCGTTTGATGGCCGACATTCGCGTCGGTAATTGCTACAATTTCATCACGTGCGTTGGATGTTGGTGTGATGATCGCTCAACCATCTGGCCCACCGACCTTAGTGTTGGGAAAAGTGTTCACCTATGGGCTCTCCACATGGCTCATTACTCCGCCTAGGCGAAGTCTCAGCACCGAGTATGGAAGGGGCAGGTCATTGTACTTGTTAATGGACTGGGGACAGTTAATCATGATTGAAGTTGCTCCCGGCTCCTCTGCTTTTTTGTCTCTGATGATGGGCTCGAGCAGTAATCCGAAACGTTAGGCTAATAAAGCTCTTGTTCCAGCGATCTTGTTTCCCTCTTCAAGCTTTAAATCTGTTTCGTTGTCACATCGGCATCTTTGCCGACGCAATCTAGACTGCAGTTGAAAAGAGCATGCGATTTTTGGGGCATGATTGCCTTTCTTCTGATATTTGTAGATTCTCCATTGAGCCCGCTACCGAGGGCGACCATTGATGTGCGCGTCGATATTCAGTGCCAAAACCTGACCTGGGAGAGACTGAGTTGCTGAGTGGGGAGGGTGTGGGCGAACACCAATTCCAGTGAGGGTCCAGGGGAGTCAACACCAACAGCGTTGATGAAAATGCAGCAAGCAACGACTCGGATGAGCATAGCCAAGTCATCATCGCACCAGATACGTCCATCCATGATGAAAGCAGAATCTGTTACGATGTAACCGCACGGTAATTGCAGTCAATGTGCGTCTAGTCCGTTCCAGCCATCGTGCCGTCTTAATATCCACCTTCCTGTTTTGGTAATAAAAGATATGCTTATTTTAAAGCGCGTTATCCGAGAGATCTCTTCTGTCACCGATGTTTCTTTTGTGTTCCTGCTTGATGCCATAATTGAACAACAACTTATAAAGGCCAAGTGATTTGTTGATTAAAATCTGGATGATGTTCTCCATCTCCTACCCGCTGTATTAATTTTTGCGACTTATACCTGCCCCATGCGTCGAGGCTGCTAACAGAGCTCTTGCCGTGTATCGTTATATCAACGTTCCCTATTGCCGTTTATAGCGCGATAGCTTAGGAGTAAGGTGATCGAAATAACGAAAATGAGACTTGAACAGTCTCCACAATAGATGTACTGTTTTAGGCAAACCCACGAACTCTCTCATAATCTACTGATTTGTCTTCAGGTCACGAAGAAGGGTTTCGATTAAAATTTCGGAATGATTCTTTCAAAATAAAGCCTGCTGTTCTCTTCCTTTCTTTCCCTCTGTTTCTAACTTTAGAACAATCATTACAAATTTCAGGCCTCAGTGGTAAGACAATAAATGACTCGGTTCGCCTATCGGCAGCTATTTAGAACAGACATGTGGCCGCATAGCACATGCGGCCGTAACCCGTGTCCGTGGCCGCATGGCTGGTGATGGGTTCGAGGGAGAATCCGAAACGCTGGACAAATAGAATCCTTGTTCCAGTGATCTTATCGCATTCTACTCAAAACCCACTTTTGCCAGCATCTGCAAACTTTAGCCGAATCATCCCGAATGTTAGCCCTCAATAGCGCGGTAGCAAAAAGAGAATGTGATAACAGCAAGGGTCAAAAGTACATACGTCCCGAAATAGGTGGGAGCAGTGTGGAGAATCTGTTCTTTTATTAAACGCGCATCCCGGACAGCAATGCACTCGCACAGCTGGAGGCAGCGATATCATAAAAAAATCAGAAAATCATCCGGATTCTGTACTTTTAACGATCCGTCAGAACTATCCCCACCCCTCCAGCAAAGCCAGAAGAGTCTGCCTTGAAGACCTGGGAAACCTGGGCAGTCTTTAATATGTTCGGGAGCCCACAGCATTCAATCTGGTGTTCCGGGATTGTATAAGCATAAATCTGGTAGAGTGCTGTCGTACACAAGTCCAAAGTGTAACTCAAACCTTGTCTTCAGTGGTTTCCATGATCGCGACAGTTCGCGGTTGGTCTAATGTGGGACACAGTACGACTTTCAAAAAGGAGGCTAACTAAAGCACGCTGGAGGCACCAACCCGCTCAAATTCACGTGAAGGTTTGACCTCGAGGACTCCAATTAATCCATCTAAACAACGTAAACCGTAGTAGAATAACATCCAACTCTCATCTATGCTATGGCTAGTTATCAGTAATATGAAACTGCCCTCGGGAAACTTATATGAAAGCAAAAGACGCAACTGACATGATAGCAAGATTTTGTCAGACAATAGGCATGACAACTTCGAATACTCGTCAATGGTAGTGAAAATGTGATTCCCAGATGGCATATCAAAATCAGAAGAGGCGTTCACCGGGAGGGGTTTACTGGAGGCCTGAAGTTTCGAGTATTTAAAGTAGTAGGACATGTCAGCCGTTGTCTTGTGACTTCAATGCAGCTGCAAACTGTGCAACTACGTTGGGAAAACCGGCCGACGGCTGCAAACGCGAATGTACGGGCATAAGTTGGCCGTGCGAAGGTTGGACCCAAAGTCGGAGGTAGCGACCCATGCCGCGCAAATTGGACACATCTTCAACTTTGACGCCGTTTGAAGTTGTGGACCGGGGCGGCGATCACACAGCAAGGCAAGTGCAAGAAGCCTGGATGTCCACCGACCGCTCTGTCAACTGCCACACCAATTTGCCTCCCCCTAACTGACTTTACGAACCCTCTTAGCGGGGGACAGTCATGGCGCGGGACAGTCGGGACCGTCAGTCATCTGCGCGGCCGACGGGAGCGATTCAGGTCACGGGGACATGCGGGTCGGATGCAGCCATAGAGGCGGCGCTGGCGGGTCACGCATTGAACAAAGTGCGCCATATAAGGGGAGCTGCGCGCAGGTCTTCCCAGTCTCTGAAGATGGGCAGACGAATCAACTACTCGAGATGTCGGACCTCCAATAAACCCCTCCTGGTGAACACTTCTTCTTCTTCTTCTTCTTCTTCTTCTTCTTCTTCTTCGAATACTCATAGAATATTTAGGCTTGTCCCCCGACTCATAAACCAGTAGTGTTAATGTGTTTTTCAAATGGATTTCCTAGTATTTCTTCGTTATCATTCATTTGGTGAGATGTGGTTATGTAGCCGCACTTGGTGGACACAATACTGTTGACCTACTTAATTATTTTGAGTTTGTGTGACTACGTTGGCATGGTGTTGTACTGCGTTGCGGTGTGTGTTCTGTTGGCGGCCTTGTTTCATTTTTGCCGTGTCTACCTTTTCCGACCCAATGCCACTAGTCCTTCTTGACTTTCAGCCTGTCGTCTCCTTCTAGCTTTTGCATTGGATGTTTCCGAGTTAGGGTTTAGGGCTACGGTTAAGAGTTAGAGATTAGGGTTAGGGTTTGGGAGACAGGGTTAGGGGTTATGGTAAGGGTTAATGGTAAGGGGCGTTAGGGTTAGGGGTTAGGGCAACTATTTCTCAACCATTCAATGTACAACCGCGCATTCCCAATAGCTTTTCTTTTGCATACAATTACCGGACCTCGTCGCCTGTGCGTTTCCCGGCCCCACTTGTAAAAACTCTGATTACAACCGGTCCTGTATTACAGGTGACTGGGGTTTGTTTACCTCAAGTGCGGACACGTAACTCCATCTGACCATTCATTTGAGTGATCGCAACGAGTGTCTGCCCTGTAGATACGCCGACCCAAATGGGACGGTCAAACGGGCCCACGGCACGCATTTATCTGGCTGCGCTGTGTTTGCGTGATCCCATAACTACGGCTGTGTTAGCATGTGGTGGCACCTCTCAGACGCTGGCTTTCTCGTCGCGTCAGCCAATGCGGCTTCTCCCATCATCATCATCATCATCATCATCATCATCATCATCATCATCATCATCATCATCATCATCATCATCATCATCATCATCATCATCATCATCATCATCATCATCATCATCATCATCATCATCATCATCATCATCATCATCATCATCATCATCATCATCATCACCACCATCATCATCATCATCATGGTGAGTCAATCAGCGCAGCACATCAACGTACTGATTGTCTCAATACAATTGACGTGTTCAAATCTGAAGAAGGAGAGTCGAGCACCGAAACAATCCGCTTATTGTCCTGAGCTTTCAGACTCGTATAGGAGTCCATCGTCAAAGGTAGTAGCAGCAACAGAACAAGCGATCAAATCTGCCATGACCGGCTCAAAGTTGTGGTTCAGGGGGTTTCCGACCGTCAACAAAATTCGGTTCTATTGGGCACTCCGTGGGACCTCGTCGCTCGCGACAGTCAGAATTTCTAAGATTCGCCGGCAGATCAGCCCGACAGTTTCTAAGCGATCAGCGGTGCCTCTTGCTTCAAATTTGGGGTGCCGTTTACATTGGTAATGGCCAATTCGCGAATTAAGACATTATGGATGAACAGTTAAAAAGGTACTCGAAACGGCGCAAACTTTTGAAAATATCACTTTTTTGGTTCGCAATTTTCATATTTTGCATACGCGCCGTACTCGGTTGGCTACTTCAAACTACTGGCCCACATTCATTTCCTCTGTCTGCAGAATCCTTTTCGATGTTTTGCCACACAGAATGTTAACAAGAATCCCGAACTGTCTTCCCGATTTCGGGGCTGCAATAGTTATTGTCATGCAGTGAAATTCCAAGAGGTTTCAGTCACTCCAGGGTGTCGGCTTTCGTACGAGCTTCGTTCCAGCTGCCTGGAAAAACTAAACGCTCTAAAAGTGAATACTTAAACAGTTTGAACTTCAACCGTTGGTTTTCGGATAACACGAACTGATTTTTAGACTAATTTTGTAGTAAATGTTGTCTTCTATAATCTTTATTCTCGAGAAAAACGTACTTTGTTGGTTCTAAAAAGTTTCTGATTATGAGATTTTTAAGACCGTGAAATGTCCGTTCATGAGTACCATATCTGTCCATTTAATAACGCTGCTTTTAAAATATTCAACATGGTCTACATGCATTGAAAAATCCTATGATCCTTTTCTCACCTCTTATCTACGGTTTCCTAAATGAAAATAATGCTGCTTATGGCTTGGAAGCCCAGAATAAAAGTGTAACGGCAGGTCAGGTCTTAAAGCATTCAAAAGCTAAAAGTGCTCCTAGAACTGGAAGATTATTTTATAGAGGACATAAGATGCCAGCAAATGGGTAGCAGGAAGAATATTCTTGGCCTGCTTTACATAATATATATTTGTTTATAGGGGCATCGCAGATCAGTAGGACAAATGATTTTACTAAAGAAGTTATTTTTTTACAGAGTATCTGGTTGCAGGCGATTTAAAAGATACTCGTTCAGAAGCCGGCCGCTTGACGTGACCAGAATATCGTGGGAGTGTTTTGCATGGTGGTAATAAATAATAAATATTACATAAATTACGTGAGTAAACCCAAAACGTGACGACAGAAGCTGAGATGAAAATTTTCAAACAATCTAAACATTTGCCTTTTTCTCATTCGCCCAGATTCTTACGGTAATTGTCCTTTTCGGGTGCAGTAAATGTTCATTAACTTGAGGAAAATGAACGCTCTGAAATATTCGGACAAATTCCTACGTCAGTATCTGTCTTAAGCATCATTTGCGCATCTAAGTAGACTTCCTACTGCGAAGAGAGTAATTTACCTTCGAGATTTTAGCCAATGCTGACAGTAGGAATCATATTGAGAACACAAAAGTTATATTTAGAGAACCAGGCGTTATATCAAACTAGGAAATTTAGATAAACAAATATGTCGTTTCGAGCAGATAAGAGGAGTAACAACGCACAAAGATAATCCTTTGTTTTAATAAACCAAATTTTTTTTGTCATTTTGAAAACTTTATAAGATGACGTAAGGAGGACTGTCGTCGAGCAGTTATTTTCAGTTTTGTCATTCGAGACGTCATTAATCGTGTGATCAAGTTCCTGTATGTGCGTAATTTAGAAATGAATTGAACAAAGCATTAAAAGTTTTAACAAGCAATAAAATATTCCTACGGCCACAATTCTGCGCATTTTAAATCGCAACACAGAGCCTAAAGTATGCAAGGATAACGTGAGTGGCTGCAATAGAAACGTTTTCGCATTTTTTTATTTTACCTTATGAACATATAAAGTACACGGACACCCGTCAGGGGAATGCAATCCCTGAATGGGTAACTTGTTAAAGAGCGTTTTCCAATCGGTGGAAAACATATTTGTTGCTGAATTTTGTTGTAGACGTTTATTTTTTTTTGACGGGGAGGTTTCTTGTTTTTTTGAGTCATCAAATGACACCAAAATGACCATCTACAAGAAGACGAACGTCCAAACAATTACCGTTTCCGATTTAAGCGCACAGGCGAGTTCCAGGAGGCAGTTCTGCGACTGTCTCGGATGCTGGGTTCGAGTGAGAATCCGGAACGTCAGGCCAACTAATTTCTTGTTCCAGTGATCGCATCTTTGTCTTCTGAACTTGCTATTTCGGTAACTACCTTCAAACAGTATCTCATTCGGAGGGGTTTAATAAACACAAAATGCAAAATATGCCTTCCTGGGCAATCGGTAGAAAACACTGAAAATCATGAGGCATTCTACAAAATGCCAAGCTCCATCCAAAAATCAACAGAGGTACGGCTTGTTCGTCCCTCAGAAATTAATCATTAACGCAGAGTTAATCAGTCCATTTGAGAATTATAAGCTCAAGTATGCTGTATCGTGCTATTTCGGTGCACGCTACTAGCTAACTGTTGTTAGTTTGTAAATACTACGAAGCTATTAGGCAGTGTCTAATTGGCTTTGGCCAAAATAATCATATCGAAATCCAATTTGAGCCTACAAATCTCAAATAGACTGATTTACACCAACATAACGATTCATTTTAGGGGAAAGTAAAACGCCGCAAGATCAGAATTGGAGTACCTAGCAGAAAGCACACAGGGAACGCCGGGGGACCAACTGACGAGCCAGACTCCTCACAGATATGAGACGCAGCGGCAAAATGTCGGCGGAACAAGTGTCTGGGCTTTTAGTTAGCACCTGTGCGGACAAGTGTGGTAAATCATGCTATCTCGACGCAATACAAAAAAGCGAAGGTGGAATTTAATTTCACGTAAACTTTTTCTTGCATATAGAAAATGATGTGTTTACGGATAGAAGTGAATAAATGTACACAAGGTAGCAGTTCAAAAGACGAAGAGGTAATCACTGGAACAAGAAATTTATTACCCTGACGTTTCGGATTCTCACTCGAATCCATCATCAGATACAGTCGCAGATAAGGGTAATAGTAGCACAAGGAATGCAGTATTCAAAGAACGTGACTGTCGTAGGCCCATATGCGCACTGCAATTAACAGCTCTCGAAATCACCGCTGGGGTCGTAATTGATACGGTGGTGGCTTGCCGTCAGTACGAGTCCGAGTCGATGATGGCCGTGATTTCGTCATCCATGCTGGATGCTGGTGTGACGATTGCTCGGCAAATTGGCTCACTGTCACTGGGATAATTGCTCACCCCTGCCCTCTCCACTTGACTGATTCTCCTGCCCAGGGAAAATCTCAGCTTGGAATATGGTACCGGGAGGTCATTGCGCTTGTTGATGGATTGTGGGCCTGAGAACCATGACTCGAACAGCTCGCGGCTCACGCGGTTGTCACCCCTTGCGACAATTTTGGCCTCTTGAAATATGAAAATATTGCCGGGTCCTTTCGAACGAGCGGCCACTTGACAGCTAAAGTCTCCCCTCCTCACTGTTGCTGCGTGCTGGGCAATTCGCGTAGGGAGTAATCTCCCACTTTCTCCGACATAGTTGCTTTGTCCGCAGTTGCTTCATATCCGGTAAACGAATCCAAACGTTTCCTGCTGTGGAAGCGGGTCTTTTGGCCTCATGATTTGGAGCCTAATGGTTGCTTCCGGCCTGTGTGCAACGCCAACCCCAAGTGGAGTGAGAAGGCGACTGACGGCTTCCGAGCCGTTCTTCACGTACGGAAGAGCCCGCCAAAATTTCGGGGCCGGCTGGATTTCATCTCTGGTGTCCTTTTCGTATACACTGGTTGACAAAGTAGCGAGGGTAGCCATTGGCTTCCGTTTCACTGCAGTGCGTCTCAACGCGCCGGTATAGCGCCCTTACGAAACTGCGTTTGTGACTGATCGGATGGTTGCTGTTGAAGTTCAGTATTTGCGCCGTATTTATCGCTTTCCTAAACACTTCGGTTTTTAGACCACCAAAGTCTTTGCGGCAGACGAGGACATCCAGGAAGACCAGCTGATTGTTTTCCTCCTCCTCCATCGTAAATTGCATGTCCGGGAAGACGGCGTTGACATGTTCTATGAATGTCCTCACCGCTCCCGTTCGATGACGACGAAGGTGTCATCCACATACCGAGCCCAGAATTTTGATCTGTGGTGTCGGAAAACCAGCGACTCCAGCCGTTGTAGGACCACCTCGGCTAGGAGTCCCGAAATCGGCAAACCCATTGGCGTTCCCTTCACCTGCTCGTAGATTGTTCCGTCGAACGTAAAGTACGTCTTGAGACAGAACTTCAGGAGCTGGATGATTTAGGCGTGTGCGAGGTGATTCTCCGTTTCGTCGTATTTCTCTCGTAGGAGTAGGTCGACGGTCTCGACTACCAGGTCCTATGGGATAGAAGTAAAAAGGGACAGGAGATCAAAGGAGATCATGACATCGCTTGGCAGGAGACTTACTCCTTTAAGTTTCTCCAAGAATTGCGTTGACGTACTGACTGTGGTGTTCGAATCGGAGGTCAGAAACTTGAGATGTTGGAACAATCATTTTGTCAGTCCGTAGTGCCCTTTAGTGATACGATAAGCCGGAGAGGTGCGCCCTCTTTCTGCAATTTTGGGAGACCGTAGAATCGGGCTAGGGCCGTTTCTTGTGCTCTCGCCATGCGTCAGTCGATTGGCGATATTGTACCTGAGTTCTCCATTGCCAGGAGCGTCGCGTTGATCAAGAGGCCGAACTCCTCGCAAGGGGTGACAACCGCGTGAGCCGCGAGCTGGTTGAGTCATGGTTCTCAGGCCCACAATCCATCAACAAGCGCAATGACCACCCGATACCATACTTCGTGCTGCGATTTTCCCTGGGCAGGGGAATCAGTCAAGCGGAAAGGACGCGGGCGAGCAATTATCCCAGTGACAGTGAGCCAATTTGCCGAGCAATCGTCACACCAGCATCCAGCACGGATGACGAAATCACGGCCATCATCGACTCGGACTCGGACTGACGGCAAGCCACCACCGTATCAATTACGACCCCAGCGGTGATTTCGAGAGCTGTTACTTACAGTTCGCATATCGGCCCACGACAGCCACGTTTTATAAATACTGCATTCCTTGTGCTACTATTACCCTTATCTGCGACTGTCTCTGATGATGGATTCGAGTGAGAATCCGAAACGTCAGACTAATAAATTTCTTCTTCCAGTGATTACCTCTTCGTCTTCTGATGTGTTTACGATTACATTTGACGATTCTCTATAAAAGTGCGAAAATCACCATATCAGTTTTCTAAAGACTAGTTTTCGAGCATTTATCTGCCTTCGAAAAATTCTCGTTAGAGCTGTACTTTTGCGAAAATTTGTGGGTCTATTGGCCGTTTAAAAAGGTCGTCTATTTCAAGCCAAGAATTTTAAGCTATTGGAACTGCCATGAAAATTATCTGAGGGCTAGCTAGTGATGGTAAGTTGGCCTTCGAGTGAAAAATTAGGGAATCGATTTCAATGCGCCTTCTTACACAAGTGGGATGTAAAAAAGGTAGGTGCGGAGAGCTCTGTCAATGGGAAGAGAGTGGAAAAGAGTGCGGATGAGTGCATGCAATAAACCAACCTTTGGCCATGGCAAACGCTTAGCTTGCACGAGGTCTTCGGCACACAGAGGACCGGTTGGTGTAATCTGATGGCAGACGCTGACAGAGTGGCTTAGAGTAGTTCAGTTGAGCCTTAAAAAATCACACGGGAGGCCTCGCTGGGGTACGCACACTTTATTCAACAGTGGTGCTACTTTTTTCTCCTAATGGAGGTTGTCAAGCTACTGCCTTATAATTATCCACATCCCTTCTCGTTTACTGCAATTTTTAAAGCCCTCCGAACTTCGTGTGTGAACTTAGAGTATTTTCTTTGAAGCAAACCTTTTCGGAGTCACTCCAAAAGCTGATATGTATAAACAGAAGGAAATCGATTAGTTGCGATGGAAAAACGCGTAATATTCATATATTCAAACACTACATCATCCATCGTAGCGACAGCATAGGTAATACCTACAGCTCAAATATTCATATCAACTTACCGACCGAAAATATTAAAGCCGTTTGCTGAAGGCTCTAGTCCAAGTTGACGTGGAAGTGGCATGTGATCGTTGGGACAAGCGTTTTTATTCGTCTGACGTTTCGGGTTTAAACCCAAATACATCATCCGAGATGAGATCAGACAAAAACCTCTTTGTACGCGTCTTGCTGTACCTAGAAGATGCGGTTGTCATGTCAATGCATGCTTAGTAAAAATAGCAGTTCTCTCATCTGGTGCAGGTGCCTGCGATAGGTGTCTGCAGCCGAGTCATTAATAGCAGTGAATTTGACACTCATAATGGTCACTGGTGCGAAACGTACTCGGCTATTTAGCCCAAAAACATTGTCACTGAAAGAACTTTTCTTCTGGGCTCTTCTCTGCTAAAGAACCCGTACAGATTATGGGGAGGGAAGTCGTTGAGTCTGGTTATCGACTGCGGACCGGAGAACCATGCCTCGAGGAACTCGTGCCTCTTGCGAGAGTCTCGACCCCGTCAAATTTGAATGCCTTTCGGGGTCGGTCGCGACTTGAAAATAAACTTGTTCCCTTCCCTGTGTTGCTTCGTGCTTGGTCATTCGTGTCTGGAGTTACAGTTTCCTTGACGACCGTAATTCAACGGTTTCTTCTTAGAAGACAACCTAACATACCTCATGAAGTAGTCATACAATTTTCGAATGCGGTTTTCTTGTTTTGACATCCAAGGAGGTTGGCAAAGCGAGTATGTGCGCGCAGTGAGAGGTAAACCCGGGGAAAATATCGACTGTTTGCTCAACAAGCCGGCATGTTTTGTTGTTCAAGAGAGGGACTGTCTGGTGAGGGAGGGGGAAACGGTGATCAAAACCCGCCCTCTAGCACATCATTTGAGACCACACGCGCTTCCAAACTCCACCGTCTGCGATAGTGATGTCGTTTCCAGTCGACTGTGCCACCGCACCGAGGGATGCTGGACCGAAAAGTGGGGGGGAGACAGAATGACACTCGAATAGGGGCTGCGAGAGTCCACAGATGACAATAACAATGGCACACACACACATGGAGAGGGGATGCGATACTACACCTAGGCGCAGGATTCCTGTCGCGCCAGTCATTTGCACTCAATACTAGTACGAGATTACTTACGGGTTCGGGCAGCGGACCGGTGCATAGATGAGGGGAGAGAGAATAAATGGACTCTTGGGAATCTGCCATGACGGCATCTTTGGGCTTTCTCACTTCAAATGAGCTGAACTGCTTTTAAACTATCGGATTGCTCTAAAAGACGTAGCATGCAAGATTGCCAACTGACGGAATAACTCTGTTCTTCTCTCAGGACGTTGAGTCAGCTCCCTCTGAGTGTGGCCCCAGTGGCACTCCCAATTACAAAGGACCAGAGCCGATCATTGCTTGCTTCTATGAAACTGGGGGTCCATGGTGGACTGGCCAGGTGGTGTAAAAGGACGATTTCTGCCCTGAAGCCACCTGCATCCTCTCACATTTCCGGTGGTACTGTGGAGGGAGGGTGAGAATGAGCGGCAGATGCAGCGCAAGTCTGATATCACTATAAACTACAGTTGTTGGGCTAACTCATGAAATGTCAACTGAAATTACAAAATGCGTTTTCGTTTCGAAAATATTAATTAAATAGTGTTGTAAAACTAGTCAGCCTGAAACACAATCCCTTAATGTTTCAGATACCTGAGGATGCCGCACTTCGAACGAACGTCCTTCGGGCTGCATGCTAAAACTAAACTCTGTAAAAAATGACTACTTCAGTAGCATGAATTTGTCTCATTGATTTTCGATGCCCTTAAAAATTTCCTTATATTGTATGGAAAACATCCATAAAATACTCAGTCTTTTGCTCATTAGGTAGAAAATGACGTCTTCTGCCTAGTTTATACTCAAAGGAAAGATATTATTCAGTTTTAAAAAAACTTTTCCGATTCGCGAAAGATTTTGAACCCCGAACTGCCGTTACACTTGCACTCAGGTCCAATTATATTTCATGGAAAATGCATACAAATATATGCAATATTTTGCTCATTCGGTAGATAACTACAGTAGATGTGCTAAATCATGCAATGTCAACCAAAATTTCGAAATGCGTTCTCACATCGAAAAGACAAATTAAGTAGTGTTGTAAAACTAATCATGATGCAGCATAAATCGATAATGATCCGGTTACCTCAGGGTTTCGGCTTTCGAAAGACTTTATTTTCGGCTGCATGCAAGATCTATACTCTGCAAAAATGACTGCTTAACTAGTATGCAATATTCTCATTGATTTTCGATGCACTTGAAAATTCAATTATATTTCATGGAAAGCATACATAAACATATTCATTCTTTTACTTATTCGGCAGAAAATCGCGCCTTCGTCCAATTTCATACTCAAAAGACGAGTATAATTCGGTTTTCAAAAACTTTTCGAATTCCTGAATAATTTTGAACTGGACCTGCTGCATTCAGGGTTTCAAAACTACAAGCTGTATATTTTCTGTGTACGGAAAACTTAATTTTCTACCGAATGAGCTGAAGAATGAATGTTTTTGTGCATGCATTTCATGAAATATGTTTGGACTTTTAGGGGCATCGAAAACCAACGAGAGAAATGCATGCTACCTAAGAAGTAATTTTTACAGAGTATAGTTTCTGTACGCAGGCGAAAGGAAGTTACTTCGAAAGCCGGCATCCTGTGGTAACTGAAATATTATAGACTTATACTGCAGACTGATTAATTTTGCACCGTTACTTATTTAATCTTTTCGAAACGAAAACACATTTCGGAATTTCGTCTGATATTTCATGAGTTAGCCCACCTACTATAATTCACGCCCAGATCACCGTTCTAATCCACCGTGGTGTGGGGTACACGGCGGCCGTTGCCAAACACGACGGCCTAATAATCGTTTCTGGCCAGTTTCCTTCGGTTATTATGCCCAAATGAGAGACAGAGAGAGGTCATTGAGGAAATCCCCGGTTTGCGGGTAGGGCTCTATCACTGGCACGGGGAAGCTGAAGGAATTCGTGGCAATTTGGTGCTCTAGAGCAGCAACGTCTTCTTCCGTTGTAGTTGACTTAGCAGGACGAAAATAAGATGACTGTGGGATTCCTGGTCAACAGACGTTGCGCTTTTCAATTTGCCTTTGTCGAAGGTGCTACTTAAATATTAATGACACGTCGTTATCGCCTCGCCCTACAGAAGAGAAATCTTAGCACA